CTACACATGGTAGCCCATGGCAACCCACTGCCACAGGGGCTGCACGCTGTCGCCGGCGACTCACGGCAGCTCAGCTCCAGGATGAGCTGTTGTTCAGCATCTTAGCTGTAGAGGGCAGTGTCACTGGCCCTCATATGTAGGATCCGAACCAGGGCCCTCTGGCGTCCCAAGCCAGCTCTTAACCAGCGTGCCACTCGGCCAGCCCCATTTTATAGATATTTTTAATACTAAGTATACAGCTCAATCCAATCCTACTACCACCTCCAGTACACACTTTACGTGAATACAAGGAGAAGATGGTAGAAAAAGGCAAAGCTATTTGTCCTTGACTTTGGAGTCACACGGGGTTCCTCAGTGTTGGATTGATGTGTCCAGGACACCTCCAATCTGGGGGTTTCTTTAAAATCCTTGAATCGTTTACAATGATCTCTTATTTTATAAAAAGAAAAAAAAGTCCAAAATGCATCCCCACCCAAAAATACCTCTCCAACAGCATTAAGCCAAATTATTGTATCTAATTTGCTGGCAATTTAAATGAATTATAACTTTATATGTACTACTTAATATCCATTAATGAGAGTTCAAGTACATAAACTATTTAATTTCTTAACACAATGCTATCTTTCCGGGTAAAATAAAATTGAAATGTGGTACTTACAGAAAGTACTTACTTACACACAAACTCTACACCTTTCCTCTACCCCCAAATCCAAAAGAATTTAGAGGAAACTGAGCCGCCACTAACATATAAATAAATACGAAATCTGCACTTTACTTGAAAAGGACATTTAGGTGAAAGTCTGTGCTCTCTCCTTGTGGGCTGTCACATTTACCTTCTTAGTAGTCTTGCGAAGATACATAAATATTTAAACTATAATTTTTTTTTAACCAAAAAAATTATGTAAAATGTTATTTTCACTTAGGAATTTTCTGTATCTTTTCTATTTTTGCATTCATAAAAAGACTGCTCTAATTGTGTGAAATGTCTTAAAAATCTTACGAGTGTTTACAAACGTCTTCATTTCCTTTCTCGAAAGCACATCCCCGGAGATGCACTTGGGCCTGACATACCCTGGCAGCTGCCAGTGAGGAACGCTGCCCTAGTTTCCGAATTTGCTTTATATTATTTCCTGGTTCCCAGCACTTAAGTTTCTCAGTAATTCCAATGTAAATATCACCAGGATTCAAAAATAGACAAAACGCTCAGAAGTGCCCTCCCTGATGAGAACTGTCCTTAGATGCTCCGTCTTCCCCGAATTGCGTGGGGCGATAGGGCGCTCAGTGACATGTTCCTGGTCGCCAGCAGCTCACTGCTGGTGCTGTGACCGTGTTCACAGAAGCTGTGATGCACTGTGTAACCTCTGAGCAACGGTGCTCGGTACATTCTAGAATGCAGGGAAAACCCCCACACATGGCTGGGGCTGGGGACAGTGGGGAGAAGATTGTGGAGTGGCCCTCGATGAAGGGGGGACTCGGACACCGGCTGGGACACAGAGAACTGCTGGACTTTCCTAGGTGAGAACGCATCAGAGACCCGGTGGATACACACTGGAGCAAGTGTCCTGCTGTGGGTGGCAGCCGTGACCAGTGACAGGGCCCTGGAACGTGACCGGCCACTTCAGCAGCTCTAATACGAGTCAGACTGAGGGGGAGTCCTGGTCTCCCAGGGCAACATGAAAATGTGGACATTTTGCAAATAAACACACAGGGCTGCTGACTCGGCAGACGGGAGGGATAGAAGTGAGTCAGCATGACACCGATTTTGAGCAGGACCTGGGGAGTGGCAGCGCCCCGGGCACTGGGAAATCAGGGAGGGAATTAGACTTTTCATAAGGAAGTTGATGAATCCAGTCCCAGACAGGCTGAATTCGAGCCAAAAGGTTCAATGGGAAGTGAAGATACGTAATGAGGGCATAAATTCAAGGGTAGGGCTGGAGACTGTGTTTATATAAACTATATTAGATTGCACACGTTTTACTATGGAGTATTTCCACGCATCCCACTAGACCAGACAGTAAGGAGCCCCCACGTACCTGCCACAGGGCTTCGGTCAGCACCAGCCTGGTCCCGCACAGTCCTCACTGCATATTAGCCTGAAGCAGATCCCAGACCTGGAGAGGGGGCCAGAGGTGTGTGAGGCAGAGGAAATGGGGATCTGGGAAGCTTCCAGCAAACCTTCTCATCTTACAGAGGAGCCAAGCTAACCATTAGAGGCAGGAAGAAATTTCCCCTAATTAAATACAACAGGAGGAACCGTACCTGGAACTAGTTATGTGGAAACAGCTCTGCCACGTTTTCATCTTTCTGAGATGAGATGAGAAAAATACGGATGACACGCAAATTTTTTAGAAAGCTAACATTCAAGTTTTAAATTGACTGTAAACATTGTATAAATGACTATTTGCAAACATATTTGAAAAGTAAATATCCGTCTTACAGTTACTTTGTCCTTCTGACACATAACACCCCACGTGCCGTCCATTATAAAAAGCCGACATAGGGTCTCGTCCTGACAGCAGGACAAGAGAACTGTGTTTACTTAATTATCATTGGGTGGTTTTCACACTGTGGCCTGGAGCCTCCGGGGTCACACTAAGTGTGCCTGGTGACAACAAAAGAGCCCTATCTGTCCGGAGTCAGTTTACTTGTGGCTGCCAGGAAAGTCACCTTGAATGACATGCCACCTCCTGTACCATACCTGCCTCCATCATGGAACAAACGTGTTGCTGGCCGTCAACAGAGAGTGCAACGAGGCGTAGGAGGTGTTGGTGTGAATTCTGCAGGTGGGCGCCACCCGGATACCATGCAGCCTGCCGGGAGAAAATGGTGTAGTTTCTTCAGAAAATAGGGCAGTTCGTGGACCCAACAGAGATGTATTCAAGAACATTCATCAGTGTGAGTCAGAGTTTAAATATGTGGCAATGTTCTCTGTATGCTGTGAAGCCACACAAAACTCTGGCTGCTAAAAGTCTGCTGCTTGGCCTTAGAAACATCGGCAGGATGGCACTGAGGGCATCTTCTGAAGTAGCACAGAGCACTGCAGAGTCCAAAGCCACCCGTAATTTCAGCCATGAAGGTGTTGGGTACGTAAAGGACATTTGCTTCAAATTGGGCAATGAAGCAATTCCAAGGTTAACTTGGCCCCTCTGTCATATCATACTGTTACTGGAAGCGTAAAACAAATGTCTGAGCATATATGGCTAGCTGTGTCAGCTACTTAACTCTTCAAACTGTGTAATCATTTTTCTCAAAAATCCATTATTTAAAATGTTATAACAAGGCATGCCACTGTAAGCTTGCCGTTATTCCTTGGGGAGTACTGGCCCTCATTCAGAGAGGACGTCCTGTCTGCTGCTTCTTTCTTTCATGTTCTTTCTCTCATGAAATGATAGACGGTAGCTTTTTAAAATTCACATCTTTAATTGGGGAAGATACTAGCCGCGCTGGGACTGGTTTGTTTTTTTTTTTTTAGAAACTTTTTATTTTTTATTTATTTATTTTAAATTGGGGAATTGGGGGAAGGGAACAGTGTTGGGGAATTGGGGAAGAGGAACAGCCATGTTGTTGTCCTTCAATCTGAGTTGTGGAGGGCGCAGCAAGCTCAGCTCCAAGTCCAGTCGCGTCACTCAGCTCAAGGTGCAGTGTTCAATTAGTTGCGGGTGTGTGTGTGGGGGGAGCGTAGCCACCATCCCATGTGGCAGTCAAACCGGCAGCCTTGTTGTTAGGAGCACATGCTCTCACCAGCTGGGCCATCCTGCCATCTGTTGGCAGCTCAGCGGCAGCTCAGCTTGGGGCGCAGCATCGCTGGCCCATGTGGGAATCGAACCGGCGACCCTGTTGCTCAGAGCTCACGCTCTTAACCAGCTGAGGGGACATGACGCCATCATGTCTGACCCTCATCAGGAGCCCGAGTTGGGCTCTTCCCACCCTTCCACCATCTCATCCACCAGTTGCCTTGAGGGAGTGCGTCTCAGAGGGAGGGCAGCCATGCCTAGTGCAATAAGGCTTCAGATACCAGCAGGCAGGACGTGTGGTTGAGGTTAGCAGAGACGGCAGCACGTGGTGGGCGGGGAGGGCAGACTGCCAGCCACTTAGGCTGACCAGTGAGCTGACATCACAGCCCAGCATGGTTTATTTTTGCTTAAATATAGTCTCCCACAAATGCTGATTCGCAAAGCCATCATACTTTTCTGGCCTTACTGCTTTTATTTCTACATGAGGTTGAGTCTAGCGAACAACTCCCCTTCCTCGCGTGATGGAACCGAAGCTTTAAAGCACTTCTCTCTGCTGAGCTCTGTGTCAATGCACCCATGCCACAGCACCTGGGACCTCGACAGTTGTCTTAAATGAACTCACCATTCAACAGTTAGCAGATAGGATACTCGCAAGAGGCAAGTCTTGAGGGTTCACACACTCTTTGGGGACCCTCTGACCCTAGGCTTTAGTTAGCTAAAGCCCCCCCCCCACCCCATAGCTCCTTGGGGAGAATGATGAGGATACAAAGTTTGTCTAAGTGTCAACATTTACGCAACATGCTAACTAAATCTCAGCAAAAAACTGATACTAATGGTTTTTAAAGCAATGAAAGCTTCAATGTATCAAAGCACAATGCCTTCCTCTCTCCCAGTATCTAATATGCTCAATTAAATTAGCAAAGTGACATTAACATAAAAACGGTAAGTGCAAAGCAACATGAGCATAACTTGACATTAGTTTGATAAGCAGCCCATATTAAATATAAATTATTTACTGAGCTAAAGGGAAGACAACAGAATAAAAATAGGTAGTTCACACTTACCTTTTCAAAACTGCACTGATCATTTCTTCCACTTTTTCACTTCTTCCTAACGTTCATTTACTCAACACTAATCCAAGTGCCGACACGCTTGCAGCATGATGGGGACACAAATGAACCACCGTCCTGAGTCACACTCTTTGTTGGGCAGGTTTCTGGTTCTGACAGTAGCTCCAAGGAACAGTTATTTTTTTTAAAAAAAAGGCTTTGTCCAGAGAGAGAAAAAAATTACCTTATTTAGCAATTCATTTTCTGATGTTGCTTTTAATTTATGAGAATTTAAAAGAAAAATATGATTTTGCTGTATAAACTTTATAGTCTATTAAACAATTTTAAGGATATTTTAAATTTTATTTCACGTACATGTCCCACTTATCAAACCATACATAATAATATAGAGGTTTCCCTGATAGTACGCAATAAAAACGTGCTCCAAGTGGTCTAGCAAATCACTTTTGGGAATTACTTTTATCGTGTTTCCTAATAATGTCCATAAGATTGGCGCCCGTGACCAGGTTGCTCTGCGTCTGTCTGTCCCTCTGTTGTTCTTTCCTCTTCTGGTCATGGAGGTAAGGCGAATTGAGTAACTGCGGGGGCAGGATGGAGCCTGTGGGCTCCACTCTTTTTGCGACATCCCAGAAGAGTCTCTTGGAGTTGTTATTGATGAAGGTGATGGCGGTCCCGGTCCGGCCCAGTCTTCCCACTCTTCCAACCTGAAACGACATGCAAACAGCATTTTCAACATGTTCATATCAAACCTGAACGTCCCTTGGAAGAAAATGAAGGCTAGTATTTCAAGAGGCTTCACTGAGGTTACCATCCGTTCAGATAGCATGTTTTAGAATTGTATATCTCAATAGATTTGTGAGGTCACTTTTGTGGGCTGCCACCAGCACATTTTTAATGATACAGTCCAAGTAGAAAATAAGAAAGTGGTGATGTAATAAAAAGCATTGCGAAACTTGTGTTTCAGTGACGTGTGTGTGTGTGTGTGTGTGTGTGAGAAAGACAGAGAGACAGAGAGACAGAGAGAGAGAGAGAGAGAGAGAGAGAGAGAGAGAGAGAGAGAGGCGGATGGCTGCTGAGGGGATGGGGATTCTTTTCGAGGTGATGAAAATTTTCTAAAATTGATTGTAGTGATGGCTGTACATCTCTATGAATATACTAACACCACCGGAAGCACACTTTACATGGGTGAACTGTAGCACATGTGAATTACATCTATTGAGACATTTATGCTGAGATATTTTCTACTGAGATTTAAAGCTGCTAAAAAAAATAACTGCAAGTCTCCAAACTCTAAGACACCTGAGGTTAACAAGTATGAAGTTGTTTCCCAGAAGCTCCCTACGCCCAAGTTAAAAAGCAGACACACGGGAGTAGCTATTATAATTTAAGTACACATCTCCTTTGTCCTTGAGTTGAGGTAAGGGTCCCACATAGGTCACCAGCCCCCGAGGCCCTCACTCGCCAGCACATCAGGGGCTCTGTGTATAAGCTCAAACCCCAGGGTTAACCTTGGGACAGCAAGAAACGTTTAGGTAATTATAATCAGCACACTCTCCTAAGAAGCACAGACGCTTCCTAGATATTTTAATGCTTAAGTTTAGAAAGACTTCCATCCAAAATTATTAAACATTTGGAAGAAAATGAACTTTGGTTGTTTGAACAATCAATTCCTGTGTGACCGTCAATTCCCTGGTGTGCAGCTAAGTGAGGCGGGATGGGGCCAGGAGGGAGGGAGGCAGGAAGGCAGGCAGGGAGGATGCTGCTGTCACTGAGTCGAAGCACAAATCAAAGCGACAATGCATCCGGGGCCCTCAGAGCCCTGCGGTGGGCGATCCAGGTCAGCGTGGCACTCGGGGGTGATTCGAAGAACAGCAGAGAAAGGCTTTCCTTGAAGAGCCTGTAAGCGATGCCGGAGAAGGGACACAGGTAGAGGCAGTGAGATAATGCGGTGCTAAGAGGAGGCTCTATTTCTGCCAGAAAAAAGAGCTCCTGTTATCGTTGGCAGCAGAGGGAAGAAACAAAACTTTAAAAGGTGAAAGACGAGAACAAACAAGGATATGAAGAGCAGATGAAGACAAGATTCCTAAAAAAAAACAAATACTTTAACGGATCCATTTTATTTTAGCCAGATAGATCCATTTCAACAAAGCCCCCTTTTTTTTTCCTGCTTATAAAAGCCATTTAATGAGCTCATTGAAGAAAATAAGAAATATAAAGGAAATAAAAAGAAACCAATGACTTAAAAACTTGTTAAACTAACATTTTAGGTTATTCTTTCCAAGTATTTTTTAAATGCATTTTAGGCATACATAGTTTTTTAAAATAAAATTTATTTCACATATACATATTTTAAAAGCAAAAAAAAAATGTCACTTGTTGTCCACTACAGAACTTTTTTGTTTCACTCCCTGTTCTACTGACATCGCCTTCCCCAGGACACTGGGGTGGGAGTGTACGCGCTCTTTACCTGGTGCACATACTCGTCCATACTGGAAGGCATGTCGAAATTGACAACCAGCTTGACACTGATCAGGTCCAGGCCGCGTCCCAGGACGCCCGTGCTCACCACCACCTCGTACTCTCCATCCAGCAGCCCCTTGCCAAAGAAGCAACACAACTCATTACTGGAAGGCAGCTTACGTGGTCTTCTGGGACTCGGGCGCTTTCCTTTTTTCAGTGCTCGCTGCTGCAGTATCTTTTCAGGAAGCAAAGGCTGAGGACTGTACGTGACCTGAGTGCCCCCCTAGCCCCCGCACGATGCCCCCTACGCCTGGACTCAGGCACACCTTTCCCAAAGGCGAAGGATGCTCCCCCAGCCCAAAGCAGCCTCATTCCAGACACGGTGGCTTCTGGCGAGCCAGCGCCTCAGTACACGATCCCCAGGGACCGGGCTGACTGCTCCCCAGACACAGACGCCTGGGCACGAGGAGCGGGCAGCTGCACAGTTTCGCGGGTAGGAAGAGGACGCTCTGCGTTAACACCAGCTGCTGCTACGGCACCGTGTCACCTGACAGTGAGGCAAAGCACTTATAGGAAACCGGCGCGCAGGTCAGACCTTCAGAATGCTTTCCCTCTCGACTTGGGACTTCTCGGAATGCATGGATATGCTCTGCAGGCCTGTGATCTTCTGAACGGCCTCACTCAGAAGGTCAGCTCCGAGCCTGCAGCCCACAAATACTAGCACGGGAGGCTGGAAGAGCTTCTTATCCTGAAGAATTAAAGACGCGAATTGAAAATCACCCATGACATAATTACAGTGGGAAGTCTTTCTGAAAGCGACATATAAGCTGGTTACCAGTAGGTTTATAAACATTGTTAAGGAGGCGAAAGGCATATTCTGTTAAAACAAGCGCTTCCCTTAAAACAGGCACAAACAGAAGTCAGTCTACCGCCCTTCCCGTTTCCCCATCACTTCATTACTCTTGCAAAAATAATTAAAAATTTAAATTTAAAAAAATTTTCCATAAGCCTATACAAACCATATTATCTTAATAGTCTTTTATTAGGTAATATATCACCCACTTAACAGATTTCTTTTAAAGTCAGTTATTGTTTAAAAAAATTCTGTTTCTGGGGCAGCTGGTTAGCTCAGTTGGTTAGAGCCCCGCGCTCACAACACCAAGGTGGGCAGTTCAATCCCCGCATGGGAATTCTATTTCTCAAGACAGACTAGCCAAGAAAGGACTTATCCTCCCCACCTTACATATAAAACTACCAAAGATTTTTGAAACAAGAAAAAAAATATTCTTTAGGAATCATCTTGATATTTAAATGTCTTCCTGTAAGAAAGAAAACAAAAACCAAGCCTTTACCTATACAGCATGTTTTCACATATAAAAATGTATTTGATTCTGACAGAATTCTGAGGGAGGCAAAGCAATGTGTTATTAGTACCTGTGCCCAAGTCCCCAAAAGCTGCATCTAAAAACCGCTCGCTCGCTGAAGCACTGTGAAACACGCAAACACCATCGACAGCACAGGGCTGACAGGGCCCTACTCACATTTAAGATCTCAAACAGTTTTTTCTTCTTGGCGGGTTCTTCTACCCACAGGATAATCTGCCGCACGCTGGAACAAGGCTGGTTCCTGCTCCCGGCGCTGATCCGCACGGGGTCATGTAGGAGCCGGGCTGCCAGCTGCTCTATGCTGGCTGGGATTGTAGCGGAAACCAGGATGGTCTGACACTCACTCGGCACGTACTCCAAAATGTCAAGCACTTGCTGCTGGAAGCCCATCTTTAACATGGTGTCGGCCTAAAACGAAACCGGTTTCCAGTCAGTCTTTTACAGGAAAACCCAGAGCCCCCCAAGAAAAGACGACAGAGTTCAGAGCATAAAAAACTAGAAACTCTTACACAGGGAAATACGCTGCAATGTCAAAAGACCAAGGATTAACTGGGGGAAATACTTATATAAAATTATATACTGTGTAACTAGGTATGTGTTTACAATGATATACAACTCGGATACAGCCAGAGTAAACAGTCAGATGTAAACACAGGCGTTTCTTAACAAAAAATTTTAAAAAAAGAGACAACTTTCTCAAGCTTTTCCAGGAAATGTTCTGTTTTAGTGTTGCCTACATGCCTTCACTGCTCATGACGTCCTTAAACCCTGACGATCCAGCATCCACCTCTCCTGCCAAAACGTCCCTCCTGAGGGTCCCTAGGCTGGATGTCCACTCACCAGACCTGTACCGAGCAGCTGGGAGTGCTTCACGTCACGTTCCCTGAGCATTCCCTTGCGTGCCAGCACCTTCTCCAGGGCTGCACACGCCCTCATATCGCTCTTGGGAGGCAGCGCCACTACAGTCCAGCTTTATAGATGCAAAAACTGAGGGACGTTACCCAGTGATCAGTGAAGTGGTGGAGCCAATGTGGACCTGGGGGACCTGGTTCCAAACCCGCCAAGCTGAACTGCTGTGTGCTCGGTGCTTAAGACACATAAAGAGACCCTACCGTTACCGAATTTAGGGTCTAGAAGGGAAACAGATGGGTCAACCAAAAGTTACAATATTAATATACTTGAGATATTATATATTTAAATTATAGCCCATGATCTATTGACCAGTGCTCCTTCAAACACTTATTTTTCTTCCTTCACTGAAAGGAGAATACCTTTTCAGACTCCTTTTTCTTCTGATCAATCTCTATATGATGCACAATCTCTGTACAGTGGACAATCTATACGATGGATGATATCATGAAGCGGTGCCTTCTCCCTTCTTCAGGGATATTATCTGCTCTCAGTTCCTTTGTGGTTTACTGACTCATCTTCAAACACCGCCAGCCAGCCCTCAGCACCGCCTGTCTCTGTCAAACCTTTGTCCTTAGAGAAACCAGTGCGTCTCGGCGAGTCTAATGCACACCCCACATCTGCAGGGTATTTCCCCTTCGTCCATCATTCACATCAAAACCATTCAAATATTGTTACCAAGCCCTAACTTTTTCCCCCGTGCCCTTTACTAAAATTAAAGGCACAGCCTAGCTCACGGAGTCACCTCTGCCTCCTCCTTCCTCTCCCCCATTCAGTCATCAGAAGGCTCCTAAAGGACTCACAGTGACTCTCAGACGTAATGCGTGCCTCTCGATGCCATATGTCTCCACCCTGCCCCTGCCCCTCCTCACCTCGCGTCTGGGCTGCTGGCTCATCCCACAAATGCCTCCTCCTTTAATTTGTCTTGCACGGAGCAACAGAATAACCTTCCTAAACCACCACTTGCAACACGTGACACCCCAACGCAATCCTTCAGAAAGCCTCACGGTTGCCCACATCAGAGCCAATCCCTCTATAATTTGACCCCGCCCTAACAACCTGACCTGACCTGCCCTTACTCCGCAGGAGGGACTCTTCAGCAGGCGGGTCACTTTTCTGTCCCCTCTGCACACGTGCCAGGCCTGCCTGCCTCCCCCAGTCTCTTCACCTGGAGATGTGCTCCTTCCACACCCTGTGGAATCCCATCGTTACTTAGGGGGCCCACCCGAGGCTGGCCAGGCTGCCCTCACTCCTCATCACCGCTGGGGGACACAGGCCTCTGCTGTGTCACGGCCAGCGGGACGCGTGACGGCAGCTGTGTGGTGCAGGCAGACATGGTGCATGGCAGGCCGGCCTGACTGGCACATAACCATGTGTCCTCATTCTTGTTTGCAGTGGGTGTCATCAAGGAATAACACCATTACTTCATCTTACTAAATAAGAAAAAAGGATGAAAATGCCAACACGCTCTTGTAGCAGAAAATCACAATCGCAGACCCTAACGCCATCAGCCACATCCACATTGCCTGTTCTGTTCAGTTATTTGTCGTGGATTAATTTTTGTAGAGAAATGGTGGCATGTTTAGAAACGCACCACCGAGGGCCCGCTGAGCGGCGCGATGGTTAAGAACTGGCTTGGGACGCCAGAGGGCCCCGGTTCGGATCCCACATATGAGGGCCAGTGACACTGCCTTCCACCGCTAAGATGTTGAACAACAGCTCAACCTGGAGCTGGGCTGCTGTGAGTCTCCGGCGACAGCGTAGGCTGCAGCCCCTGTGGCAGTGGGTTGCCATGGGCTACCGTGTGTAGCCAGCAGCCAGCATGAGCGGCCAGCAGCTGCAGTGAGCAGCTGTCCAGAAGCCGGCGACTGATCTGCCTCGCCCGGGAAGAGCACAATGATGGTGCCAACTTGGGCCAGTGAAGCAACGTCCTCCACAACTAGACTGAAGAACAAAACGACAGCAACTTGTCTGTTCCCCTTCCCCCAGTTTCCCAGCGCTGTTCCCATCCCCCCATTTCCCAATAAAAACCTTTAAAAAACAAAACAAAACAAAAAAACAACAACAAAAAAAGAAAAGCACCACCGAGAAGGCGGGGCCTATAGCATCTGTGTTTGCCATCAGTCAGGACAAGAGCTATGGCTTCCTAGGGCTTAGGGCGGTCTATTCGGGAACAACACGAAGAACCGCTCCTGCAGCTCAGAAAGACCCCTTCCCCTTGGGGAAGGAAGAAAATGCCTGAATACACACTGAAATTATGGCTATAATATGATTTTCGTAAATTATATAAAATTATGTGACCGATGTTTCTGAACACCACTACTTACTTCATCCACTACTACAATTTTTATACCGCGGAGTTCGACAGAGCTCTGTTTTATGATATCCAGAAGTCGCCCAGGAGTTGCTATGATAACCTAAATAAAAGAGGAAAAGCAAATAAAAAGATTAGATAATGCCCTCCTTCCCTCCCTTCCTCTCTCCCTCGCTTCCTCCCTTCAGTCCCTCCCTCCTTCCCATAACTTATTGAGTGGCTAATGTGTGCCAGACACTGTGTTAAGTACTCGGAATTCAATGGTGAATATCAGACAAGCCCGCTTTTATGAAACGCATGATACAAAGGAAGAAACAGGTGGAACAAATAAATGCCCATGAGCTCAGTCAAGTACGCAATCAGTGGGGGCTCTTTCCAGTCCTAGCTGACATCTAAGCTAAAACCTGAATGAGTCCTGGGGGTCCGCAGGGTGTGGGCAGCACTGGCAGGCCACCAAGGGAGGAGGCGAAGGGCCCCAGGTGAGACTGAGCCCTAGGTAGGACCAGACCGGAAGGGCCTACAGGCAGCTGGCACCACTGGCTCTGTGAACCAGCACCAATTCCTTAACCTCTTTGAGCCTATTTCATTTTTTTTTTTTTTAAGATTTTTATTGGGGAATTGGGGGGATGGGAACAGTGCTGGGGAATTGGGGGAAGGGGAACAGACAAGTTGCTGTCGTTTTGTTCTTCAATCTAGTTGTGGAGGATGTTGCTTCACTGGCCCAAGTTGGCACCATCATTGCGCTCTTCCCGGGCGAGGCAGATCAGTCGCCGGCTTCTGGACGGCCGCTCACTGCGGCTGCTGGCCACTCACTCTGGCTGCTGGCCACATACGATAGCCCATGGCAATCCACTGCCACAGGGGCTGCAGCCTACGCCGTCGCCGGCGACTCACGGCATCCCAGCTCCAGGTTGAGCTGTTGTTCAGCATCTTAGCTGTAGAGGGCAGTGTCACTGGCCCTCATATGTGGGATCCGAACCAGGGCCTCTGGAGTCCCAAGCCAGTTCTTAACCATCACGCCACTCAGCCGGCCCCAAGCCTATTTCATTTTTAAATTAAAAGGCTGGGCACCAAGCTTTCTACGGCTGCTTAAGGCTCTCCACAGTTTTATAATATAGTCGTTGAAGTAGTGATTAAAAGTGGGGGTTCTTTAGTCAAACAGACCTCGGTAGGAATCGTAGCTCTAGCATTTAATAATGGTGTGAGTCTCTATTTTCTCATTGATAAATTGGAAATGATAATGATTATTGTGAGGATTAAGTGAGGCTGCCAGGCATAAAGTACAGGCAAGTTACAAATGACCTAATCAATTCATGCCTGTTTCCAAGTTCACACCAGACCAATGGTGACATTACTGAGGGTGGTGACATTTCAGGATTATAAGGACCTGCTTATGTACTTCAGAAATACCGGCACCGTTTAAAAACTGAGTTCACCGCTTCTATTCCATTTTTCTCCCTCAGCTGCTTTAAAAGACATAAACGTTTTTTCCATTCTCTTAGAGCTGTTAACAGATAACTTCATAAAGTCTAAAGTTAATCGAAATCTTTACTTCTCCTTGAACAATCAGGGGCCAATGCTTTAACACCAATCACATCTCTCCTGCATTTCCATACGACTGTTGGCCAGTATTTTGCTCCAATTAAAACAACAAAACCCCCAGATTGTTCACAATTCTGTTTTCTTTAGTCAATGGTCACTATTTTCTTTGCTCACCATTCTTTCTTTCATCTCCCACGGAGGGTTAGGGCAGATGTGATGATTAAAGGAGATAACGCACGTGAGGACAGCCAACAGTGTCTGGCACACACCAGACACTTAATACGTGTGCTCCTTTCCTTTCCCGTATAAAAGAAACTTAGAAAACTACACCGACTGGGCCAGCATTTGAAGGCCGCCTAAAATCACAGGCAAAGTGTCCTCAAGGAGAAAACACCTAGGTGCCGCATCGCTACTCACGGCTTCCTATCGACCTGGCGCTCACCTTGACATGCTGCCGCAAACGGTGCAGCTGCGGGGGCAAGGGCAAGCCCCCCACCAGGAGCACGGTTTTCATGCGCGGCAGGCCTCTCATCAGTTCTTTGGCTTGTCTCTCTATCTGGATGGCCAGCTCTCTCGTTGGGGTCAGAATGACCGCAGATGGAGCTGTGCTCTGCAAAGACAGAAAAACAAATCTGACGACACCAGCGCTTCATTCCTGAGGGCACGGACGAATCTCCGAAGAGATTCCGGGAGCATTTCCCTTTTAGCGTGGTCCCATCGGCCCACCTGGAAACGAACCCTCCTGCCTTTTCTGCTCACTGCAGATTTTGCCTCCAAAACCCACCGTAAACGAAGCCCAAGTCTTCCATAACACAATATACAACGAAAGGCAGAAATCGGGGCCAGGGAGAGGCGTCTGCAATGACCCAGGTGGGGACATGGAAGGTTTGCTCCTGGTCACTGGACACTGAGACCTCCAGCCGTCCTCCCCGAGTCGCCATGAGACCTGGGTCAAGCTTGGTATTCCAAACCCGAGAAGCCTGCTCTTGGCTCTTCTGTGCACTCACTTCCTTCTGTGTCCTGATAACTCACTTCCATGAACACCCTGCTTCCTGCTCTATAGCTCTGTTTTGGTCCTCCAGTGAATTTCACTTATATCGTGAACGTCTGCTTTCTTTTATTTATTTATTACATTACCTCCTATTACTCTTTAGCTTTCTCTGTTTGCCTCCTTTATCTTTGTTGTCTCTGCTTACATTTTTCACTCCTTACCAGACCTCATACCTCACAAGCACATAGGCACTCAAAGTGTGTGTTAAACTAATTGTGCGTGTAAGAGTGCTTTGTACGCTATAAATGAACAAGCAAAGGTAGTAGTGTTATTTTAAGGTGAACCACGGATCACATTTAAAGGTATATTATGAACCTCTGCAATAGTGTTCCAACTTTGGTGTAAGTCAGTTTTTTCAAAACATAAAATCCAAGAGGCTAAATTGACAGAAAAACATTGTAGCTGATCAGGTCAGCAGGATTACACAACGCCCCTCCAATTAAAAGCGTATTCCTTTCATAGGAAATTTGTTAGAAAGGAAGCATTTTATAAGAAAAGCAATTTCTGAGACCTGCAATGAAGATCTCTGGCTCGATATAATGAAAGAAGACTTCCCTAAAACTATGTTTTTTCAGACACACTATGAAACTGTCAGTGTTCAACTTCCGCTTGCAGCTGTAACATAGGTGAGTATGCAAGTTGGTAAATGCCCCACTCGTTTCTGAGACCTATACATTTGAACTCGAACGTACCTCGAATAAAGCTCGGATGATAACAGGAAGGAGGAAGGCGGCCGTCTTTCCGGAGCCGGTGTCAGCGCTGGCCAGAATGTCCCTTCCCAGGAGACCCACGGGGGTCATCTGCATTTGGATGGGGGTTGGGACCTCATAGCCCGACTCCTTCAGGTTGACATTTAAGGCCTCGGGAAAACCACAGTGCTCGAAGTCAGTAATGGGCCTGGTGACATCTTGTCCTTGCACTGAAATACCAAGCTGCTGCTTAAGATTCTCAACCTGGTCGTCCTGCAGGCTCAAGACGAAGGGATGCTCTTTATAGACGTAGCAAGCCTCCAACGGGGCCTCGGGCTGAGAGCCAGCTTCCTGCGGGCGGCTGAGCGCTGACTTCTCTGCCTTCTCCTTAACCCGCAGGAGATGCTTCGCTTTGCACTCCAGGCTGCACACGTCTTCATCTGTCTTATCACAGATGTACTCGCCGTAACGGCCGCAGACAACACACACAGGTTCCCCGGGCTCTGCCCAGCGCTGCATTTTGGAAAATGACTTAACAGGCTCTTCCGAGAGATGGCCATCCTCGGCACGCGGCTCAGGTCCCAGCACACAGACCGTGGCCACCTGGCCCTCTGGACTGGGGCAGGGGCATGGTTCCGCGCCGGGCCCGTCTGCTTCTGGGGCCTCTTCTGTACCGACGGGTCCCACCGGGTCGCCACTGCCTTCGTCCTGTGAGGCGTCTCCTGCTTCTGGTTTTGCTCTCTTAGCTGCACAACTTCTGCCTTCGTCGTGAGCGCCCCTCCTGATTTTGAGAGATCTTGGAACAAACATCCTGCGATCTTCTGTTGAGGAAATGGGATAATGAGTTTCATTTCACCCTCAATAAAATTCAAGGATCAAGTACCACGTGGTTATCCTGGCGGCGGCCTAGTGGCCCTGGGCTTTGCCTCAAGGAATAGTGAAGAATCATGACACTCCCTCCATAGAACGTCTCTGCCAAAGCACAGGGTCCCTTTGCGCGCGCATGCGCGCACATGCGAGTGGTGACACTTTGCACCCTGCCTCACACAACCTACTCCTGCTTCCTACCTGCACTACGAAAACTCGGATATTACAGAAATTCTGCAGAAACTCCGATTGTTTTCACAAAGGAAAGCAGGAGGAATAATACTTCACGGTGCAACCTTCAAAATAAAACCCACAAAGCACGGAGACAAACGCCACCTGGATATATAAGGAACACCTGTCGCCCTGACGGCGTCCCAGGCACAGTGCTCCGTGCCTCCCGCTAAGCTCATCTTCGCAGGCTTGTAGAGCAGGGGGCGCTCCCCCCACACACACACACACAGGTCTGTATTTTCACGCTGCGCTGCGTGTCACGGCCTCACTCCCAGGAGGAACCTCGGCCGCCTCGTCCCAGCGCACACCGGCCCTGCGCGTCAGGGAGCAGGCGCAGTGGCTCCAGCGTGCACGCGCTCGGCCTCGGCCGCCCCTGTTCACACCAGGGCTGCGGGTGCAAACGACGGAGGTTGGGGAAGAAGCCTTTTAACCCAACTCTGGGGCCCTCAGATAGACTCATAAACTTTTTTCTCAAAAGGTAATACCTAAGACAAGCTGCCAGGTTCCATTTTTCCAGAGAAAGTCCAACAAAAATGCCACGAGGGTCAAGAGTTACGGTCCCTAAGGCTCCGGAAACGTCCCGGATGAGGCGGGGAGGGCGGCTGCACGGGGAGCAGAGAGAGCTGGGGGCGCCAAGTCCTCCAAGGGCGACACGGAGCCGGCTCCCCACTGGTCGCCGTCGCCCCCCACGCGCCCACCCCGCGCGCTCCCAGACCTCCGCTCGGGGGCGCCCCTCACTCCCGCCCGCGGCGCCGCACCCAGAGGCGCGTGCGCGTCACGGCGGCCCGGCACCCAGGGCGCGTGCGCGTGCGCGTCACGGCGCTGCTAGGAGACGGCACGGGCGGGCGCCTCCAAGTGCGGGAGGGGCGGGCCCATCCTACCGCCGCGGCCTAACGCCGGAGTACCGGAGCAGAGGGAGGCCTGAGCCGCTGAACCCGCCGCGCCCGCTGCCGCGCGGAGCCGACTCCCCTCCAGGCGCCGGGCCAGGCTTCTTTCGGACAGGCCCGCGCCGTTTCGGCCTCAGCGCGGCTGGAAGGGGCGTTCGGAGAGCAGAGTCCACTTCTCCGGGTTTTTGGAGGAGTCGCGGCGCGCACTGGAGCGACGGGGGAGGCGGAGCCACGGCGGGAGGCGGAGCTCGGCGGGGAGGGGCGGGGCCCGGGTGCTCCGCGCTGTGTCCACGCCCCCTTCCCGGCTCAGGGCTGCAGGGAAAGCTCCCAGCTGGACTTAGGCTGGGAGGCTGCTGCGCAGGGAGGGGCAGCAGTGGGGATCCTCTGGGCAGAACTGACGTGATCGCGTGGGCCCGGACGGGGGAAAAAAGAGTCAGACGGTCCCAAAGGACGGAAGGGGCGGCGCCGGGCCTGGCGCACTTACAAAGTGGAAGTCCGAGTGTAGGGGAGGCCTGGACACCCACCCTGCTTTTAGCTGGCAGAATGACTCTAAAATTAAACCGAGCAAGTTTCATGTGGCATACTGATATACTGGATGGTATTTCCACCACGGCCACACCCCACCCGACACCAAAAACAAAATGACACAGTCACGGTTCCCGGTCCCTCCCTCCTGGAGACATTCCTCTGCTGTGCAGCCTCCGGAGCCACTGTCCCCAACAGCTTGTGGTGCAGGGACGGGATGGGGCGGGAGCAGAGGTGGGTGACTTCAGTGTTTTCGGGTGTCTTTAGTATTTTAACATATTTTCAGTCTTAATATTTGATGCATATGATACACTGAATATATAAATTTTAAAGCACACTAATAAAACGAAAGTTTGTGACTGCCTCGTTATCAATATTAACCACATATCTGCGCATCTCTCGGATTCTGCCATTATCCTGAATTTTGTTCGTCTCTCCTTGCTGCTTTTTAGTAGTTTTATCACGGTTGGATACATTCCTAAGCGATACATTGTTTCATTTATCTTCTTTTTTGAACTTTATAAAAATAACATTATTATATAGCCTTGTGGGATTTGCTTTTATCATTCAACATTTGTTTATTTCTGCTAAGTTAAGTGTAAGCAAGTAGAACATTTTGGGTCTGTCAAGTAGTTTGGATATAGCTGTTGATCCATCTTCCTGTGGACACTTGAGTTATTCCCCAGTATTTTGTTCTTAGTGGCGAATTTACCATGAAGCTAATGAAATTTGAGCATCAGGGCTTCTCCCTCCCATGAGTCTCTTGGCAATGTGTTCACATGGTCATATATTTTTGTAAACTCTGCAAAAGAAAGCTATTTAAGTCTGTTCCCATTCCTTCAGCACTTCTCAAGCTGGATGGTGATGGGTGCAGGCATCTGGGGACCCAGCCAAGGTGGGTTGAGTTGGGGCTGCATTTACCACTTCGAGTGCAGGAGAATGTATCTTTGAGGGTTGCAGTCTGTTCACATTAGGCTATTGCTTTTTATGCCAGACTGAGAAGGTACAGGGACAGATATACCAGGATGTGAACGCATCCTACAGCATCCAGCACCGGAAGTGGGTGCAAACATAGTTTGAAATGTAGGGAGCTGGAAGCTAGTCTGTAAAAATTCATTAGATGTGTAAAATTGGAAGCAGAGGATCCGGTTCTGACCAACGCCTAGGCAATGGAAGTTCTCTCCCATCAGGAATGTATTCATGATTATATGATTATAAATGAACTTGACATTTTTCTTTCTTGATGGGAATCACAGAAAGTAAAATGTATCACACTCGCTGAGTTTGTAGGTCACAAACCTGTTAACAGAACTGCATGGAGTCTGCCTGAATATGAAGACATGTTTTTTTGGGGGGTTTTTTTGTTGTTGTTTTTTTTTACGAATACTAATAAAAAAGGTTTAATAAACCATGCTAAAAGAAATTTCATCAGTTGTTCTAATAATGTCATTTAGAGCAAATTTTTCCCCCTCCCAATCCAGGATCCAGTCCAAGATCTTTTTTCTTTATTTCTGCAGAATCACTTAATGAATAATAGTTCTTAAGTTTCATGTAGTTAATTTTTTCAATCTTTTCTTTTGTAGTTAGCAACTTTGGTGTCTTAAAAAAAATCTTTGTCCTGCCAGGGGTTGAGGGGAGGAAGGGATGAGTGGGCAGAGCTCAGAGGACTTTTTAGGGCAGTGAGAATACGCTGTGTGACACTATCATGATGGGTATGTCATTATACATTTATCCAAACCCATAGACAACACCAAGAGTGAGCCCAAATGTACACTATGGACTCTTGAGTGATGATGACGTGTCACTGTAGGTTCATCAGGGGTAGCAAATGTACCATCTGGTGGGGCAGTTCATAATATGGGAGGTTGCGATGTGACGGGGGGCAGAGGGCATGTGGAAAATCTCAGTACTTTCCATTCGATTTTTCTGTGAACCTGAAACTGCTCTAAAAAAATAAAGTCTATCAAAGAAAAAAATTCTTGCCTACCCTAAAGTCAGAAAGGTGTTTCCTAGAATTTAAGGAGAAAGGTTTAGAGTTTTGCCTCTTACGTTGAAATCATCAGTCCATGTGGAACTGGTTTTGTCTGGGATGGAGTAGGGGCCCATTTCCTTGTGTTCCAGATGGCGAGCCAATCGTCCAAACGCCCTGCATTGAGGTCTGCAGGACCTTCTCTGGTCACCCATCAAGGCTCCCAATGCACAGGTCTGCTCGTGGACCCCCCCATCCCTTCCAAGTTGTCTACGCCTGTGCCAGAACTGCTCTCCTCATTACTACACCTTTACAAATTGTGCCATCTGTGGAGCATGTTTTCTTCAGGGGCGTCTAGGCTATTATTCTCTCAGTCCTTTGTTCTTTTTGTGTACATTTGAGAATCAACTTGTCAGTTTCCATAAAAAAGTCCCAATGTGATTATGACTGTAAATGCATTGATGCTATAGATAAACCTGGGGGGAGCAGTGACCTGTCTACAATGTTATGTTCCTATCCGTCTCTAGTTAGTCAGGTTTTCTTTAATGATTTCTGTAGAATTTTCAAATTTTCTCCAGAGGCTTGCCCATCTTTTGTCAGAATTATTCCTTGATTCATTCCAGTTTATATTATTTTAAATGGTTTTTAAAAAGTTATGTTTTTGAATTGCCTGCTGGTGTCTAAAAATGAAACTGATTTTTCACATATTGATATTATAACCACCTTACTAAATGGTCTTCGTATTTCTAATAACGTATAGATTATTTTTAGTTTTCTATTTAGAGAGACACATTTTAAGTAATAAGTTTTGTTTTTCCTCTTCTTTCTCTTATCTTACTTTGCTGGCTACAATCTGCATTCCCGTGTTGAATAAATGTGATGATAGCAGACATTCTTGTCAAGTTCCTGACTTTAAAATACCTTAATTCACGTCTCCTCATTAAGAATGATGTGTATTGAAGGTTTTTCAAATACCCTTTATTAAGTTAGGAGAGTTCTTTCACTCTGAATTTGCTAAAAATTTCATCATGCATGAGTATTGGATTTTATCAAATTTTTTTCTCTCTTTCTTTTTACCCTGTGAGAGCAACAAAAGGTTTTCCTCCCCTAATCTATTAAAATGAAGAATAATATTTTTAACTCAAAATATATTTGTATTTATATTTTTTACATATACACTTACTGCATTGTGGCCAGAGAATAAATATGAGTTTGATTCTTCAAAGTTTCCTGAGACTTGCTGTCTGAGCTAGTCTGAGGTCAGCTTTTAGAAAAACGTTCTAACACAGAGGAAAATGTTTCTTTCATCGATAGACGGTGCAGCGATACATTCAAATAAATCCAGCTTGGTGGTTCACATTTTCTGCATTTCACATTTGCCAGCCTCTATGCCTCTCGCTCATTAGTAGATAAGCCAGACCAGCCATCCCCCGTGACAGTGGCAGACTGTTATATTTCACCTGTCATCCCAGCAGTTTTAGTTTCGTGTATCTGGGGATCATTTTGTTTTAGAATTAATTCTTGTAAAGCAATGTGAGCATTACTATGCCACAGAGCTTTAGATTTGAATGCAGCCACCGACGTTCAACGACAACCCCGGTCACTCTCCATACCCACGCGGGAGGGATGGTGTGACAGCATCTGCCACACCACCAACCAACTTACTGAGTGTTTTTGGAGGCAGCGAGCTTCCTGCCTTACAGGGCAGCCTGGTTCTTCATTGGAGAGCTCTGCATGATTGCAATTACCATTCTTTAGACTCTCTGGAAGGCCAGGCATTCTGCAAAGCATTTCACAAGCATTGTTATGTTTAATTTGCAGTACAACCCTGATTTTATCCCCCATTGTACTAATGAAGCAACCGGCCCAAGGTCACACAGGGCCTAATGGAAGAGCAGGGAGTAAGCCCAGGTCTGCCTCCCAAACCCACTAGATCATGCCGCCAACTTCTTCTTCATATCAAGTGTACAACCACGTTCCTTCAACGTTCAATCAAGGGCTCTGGTTCTAACCACCATTTTCAGTGTTCCCAGCATTCCCGGTCCTTTGGAAACCTCAGAAATTAACTCGGGCTAATATGTGTTCCAACCGTCATGGGTTTTCTCATAGAAGCTTTGGACCTTGCCACATGCCTTCATATTGTCACCTTTGGACACCTAGTCGGTCTTTACATGTGCGATGCCTCCTTTTTCATGTGCAGCCTGGTGAGTTCCAACTCATTTCTGTACGGGCTTCAGGCATGCCGACTGGAGCCTAGTATCAAACCCTGCATCTTTCGGGGCCACTACGTCAAACCTCAGAGCTTTGCAGCTCTTGCACGTGCCTCTGCCCTACTGTATGCATTTGAATTAAGAGCTCAGGTTCAGATTTCCAATCAGGTCTCCGTCAGAGCACAGTCTAATTAATCTAAACTGCTAATTCCGTTTCCTTCACACGCGTCTTCACCGACATGGTTTGATGATGGTCTTTGAATGGTGGGGCCTCAGGAAGCCTCACCTGTAGTCGTTCCCATGGAAAC